GTAGCAACAACATAATGATAATTCATAATAGTCGGAGAAGGACGAGGATAAGGAGGTAGAGGCGGAAGAAGGAGGAAGAGCCAGGATGACGAGGAGAAATAAGAGGGATCTTGTGGCGCGTTACCTGCTCGTGGAATGACCAGGCGCGCCTCAGGTCACCGGGGAAGAGGGATGAGGAGGAGAAGTAGAGGCGGGCGCACCATTTCTCCTTGGTTTAATCCCTAAGGCTGCGCGTGGTGTCGTGACGCGGGCCTCTTGGCATGATTGCTTCAACCGCTCCCGTCAGGTTAGTAAAACGCTTTCGCAGCAGAAGGGGGGAATAGCGAATGAATAACCACCACTGCGAAGATGCGTCTGGGTCTCGTTGAGACCAGGTGGATGAGGCTCTGGCTTCTGGATTAGGCGGAAGATGAGAGGATGAGGGGAGGGAGAGGAGTGAGGAGTGCAGTGTATTGAGGAGGAAAGGGGAAGAAGAGGCAAGATATGCAACTCTTTGGGCAGTCCGTGGTTCAAGATGACCCTCGCTGGAGGTCTTCGTTCTAGTTCTAGTTCCTCCAGATCCTCGGCGATAATTCTGGGGGCTACTTCTGAAGTGTGCCATTGCATGCTGGTGGGAAAAAGGGGAGGCATCATGCCCACTCCGAGCAGCTCAAGGGGCACTTCGCACAAAAAGCGGACGCACCGTTCCTCAAATAGGGCGCTGTAACGTCCAGGCGCATCGTCATTAGACTGTGGCTGGTGTGGGGAGGCCGAAGACGGAGGGGACGAGCACGAGCACGGGCACGAGGAAAGCAGAAATCATGGACGAGGTGGGACGATGCGCAGAATGAGGAGAAGGGGGGTGCAGAAGAAAAACAAGAAGAGAGGACGAGGAGGAGGGGGAGAAGAACGGAGAATGATGGGGACGACGTGAAGCGTAAAAGGGTGCGAACTTCCTCAAACTGAGAAGCAACGGAATGCGCTACCGCGCCTAGTACATCGATTGGTGTCTGTGTGTGTGTGTGTATTTAGGTCTCCCGACCTTCTACGACTCGACGTTGCGCGCGAGGCCGCGACGTCCGAAAGTGTGGACGAAGGTGGGGCCCCCACTTTTCCCGGCGGGCCAAGGTGAGACTCCGTACCTGCCGATTGCGGCTGACTGACTGCCTGACTCCCTGACTGACTGCCGTGAAGGGGCAACTCGAGGTAGGAGGCCCGCGGCCGCCCGCACCCGCAACCCTCGCCCCAGCATTCGCACCCAGGACGGGGCAGAGGACTTTGGGCCGGGGGCGCCCGCAAACGCACCCGCACCCGTGCCCACAACCGCAGCAAGACAACGCATCGTGGGCTGTGGGCACCCGCAACCACGCCGACAACCGCACCAAGGTGCCCGCAACCTGGCAACACGTTTACGGCACACGCAACCGCGACCGCATTCGGGCAACGCATTTTGGGCCGCGTGCCTCCGCGCCCGCAACTGGGCAACCTCCATAGACAGACTGTGCCTTCGCTTTGGACTCAAATGTCATCTGTTCGTCTTGTCCCTCGTTGTCGCTGTACACGGGGCGCTTTGCAGGCGGCTGTCCGACGGGATATTGCAGCCAGGAGTCCCCAGTCCACGCTGCTGCCTCTGATTCGATAGAATCGCTCCCTGTGGGAAGTAGACCCCCCCATCGACGCATCAGCCCCGACAACGCAGAAGCTCGACCAGCCCTTCCCACGGAACCTGCCCCCCCAGGGGCAACGTAGGGTTTAGGGTTTAGGGTTTAGCCCCCCCCCCGCGACGCATCAGCCCCGACAACGCAGAAGCTCGACCAGCCCTTCCCGCGGAACCTGCCACCCCCTGGGGCCCCACGCCTCCCGCAGCACCCCGAATCTCCCGGGGGCCCGCCCGAGCACGGTGGCGCGGGTTCGCGCGCCAGCGCATCTGGATCCGCTTGTGTACAGTCACCAGCCCTCCCACGTAAGGCGAAGCCAGGACGAGCATAACATTGGCTGAAGACACATCGGGAATCTCCGAGATCCGGCGGCTTTGGAGGATGTGCCGAGCACCGCGACCTTCCCAGGGCGCTCCAGAGCGGTCCGGAACGCCCTGGAATGGATTCACTCTCGTCCCAGCCCCGCCCGACAGCCACCATCCCCTCCCACGCCCGGCTCTTCCGGACACGTGGCTCCCCGAGCCCGGGAGACCCCCCCCCGGGCCACACGCAGAGAAGTGGCCCTCTGGGCAGGAGAGGCCCTCGGTGCGCGGCTCTCGGGGTCCGCGAGGGGGCCGAATAGCCAGGCGCGCAAGCCCGTGCTGGTGGACCCCTATGGCAGGGGGGGCACTTCAGGGGGTGAGCGGCTCGGGGGGGGAACCCTCCCCCTGCAATCGGCGATAAGTCGCCAGTAGATCGGCGATAGGCGCCCGATAGCGACTCCGCACGGTCCTGGGCGCGGTGGGCCATCAAACCCTGTCGGCCATCAGTGGGCGAATTAGGGGTCGACGTGTTCGCCTCTGAGCCTATGTTCCCCTGACGTTGCCCTGTGAGCCCGCACCAGGGGTCACTCCGGCAAAGGGCCACCCCTACGCGGGAGCGCACCCTGTCCCCAGCAAGCAACCAGATGTGAACCCTACCTCTGCACGCCAGATCTCTGAAAAACCAGCTGGGGTCCAGAATTTCAAAGATGTCTACAACCAAGCCAACCCCAACTTGGAAGCGGCCAGGATGTCTGAATTGGTTGAGACCCCAGAAAATCGGTCAGGAAGGGAATGCAGCCCAATGCGCTCAAAATCTGTCTCCGGACCCTTTCTGGGGTCCATGTGGTGCGAACTTTCAACCTGGATCCGTTTGACGGTCCCGCGACCCGAAAACGGCCCCCCGTGGTCGAAAGATTAGACAAGCTTCCCCGAACCCAGCACCTCGAACCTGCCCGCCCTTCCTGCTGGCCAGAACCAATGCTGGGCCACCTCAGACCCCCAGACGGCTCCAGACCCCAAGGGCGTCCGACACCCCAGCGTCGATCGGACTCGTAGGGGGGTAAGGTTTTCAACTGCCCGCGGATCTGGGGCATCTTTTCATCTCGGGCAGTCTTAACTGACGGCCCTGGTGACACTGGCCTCGAGGGGCCCGCCTGCGGCGGCAGGTGAAACTCTGGATGCTGGCGCACCGCTTTGAAAACTCGGTCGCCGTGCTCTCTTTTGGCAGTCCGAGGCCTGGGTCCAACACAAGAGAGCTTGACTGCACTGGCGTCCCACTGAGATCTCGATTGGATTCGGGCAGGGCCTACCACGAAGCTGGCACGTCCTTCTCCCGAATCCTTCCCCTCCTCTTTCTGCTTCTCCTGCTACTTCTCCTCCTCCTCCTTCGCATTTCCTCCTGCTGCTCCTCCTGTTTTCCCTTCTCCTTTTTCTCCTCCTCCTCCTCCTCCTCCTCCCGCGTCCGCCTCCTCCTCCTCCTTCTCCTCCTACTCCTTCTCCTCATCCTCCTTCCCATCCTCATCTTCTTCCAACTCCACCTCCTTCTCTCTCTTGTCATCTTCTTCCTTCCTCTTACACCCCCCTCTGTTCCAAACCGACCTTCGGAACTCTGCCGAAGCGCGCTCTGACTGGTTTTCAACGTGGATCCAACCACGGTTACGATGGCCACTTGGGAAACCCAAAGAGGGCGAAGCTGGTCGAAACCGTCATACTATCATAATGCTCCTCCTCACTCATTCCTCCCTGTCCCTCGCCCTCTCCCCCCCTCCCCCTCACCCCTCCATATTTTTCCTTTTGAGTAACTCCTCCCTGTCGCACCCCGAAGCCAATCGGAAGAGCGGGTCGGGCGTTCCGCCTGAGACTTCCGCATCAATTATAGCCTGCAGTTTCACGGGTGGAGGGCGGGTCGCTTTCAAAATGTGGCCCTCGCCTTAGCGCCATGCACATCAATTAATAAACATAAGAGATTTGCACGGATTGAGGACAGGTGGTTTTCAACATGTGGCTCTCGCATTAGCGCCGTGCTCGTGTTAACACATCGTTTTCAACTTATGGCTCTCGCCTTAGCGCCGCGCGCATTCGTCATAACAAATTGCAAGAGCTTCGTGAATGGAGGGCGGGTTGTTTTCAACATGTGGCTCTCGCCTTAACGCCGCGCACATTCGTCAGCACATTCGTCAAAACATATTACAAGAGTTTCACGGATGGAAGGTGGGCCGTTTTCAAGATGAGGCTCTTACCTTCGCGCCGCCCACATTCGTCATACAAAAGTGGATCCGTTTCACGGATGGAAGCCAGCTCTTTTCCAAAAGGTGGCTCTCGCCTTGACGCCGCGCACATTCGTTCAAGAACTTCCAACAGCTTCAAGAGCTAATTACCAGGGCCAATGTCCCAAACATTTTGTTGTGGTACGATGTTGGAGTTTCAAGGCGCAACGATTATGCTGGTTCGTGGTGTTGACATCCCGGAAATTGTGTTCTGGCACAATTCGGGATCGTCAAGATGCAACAGTCTCGGTAATTCGCGGCGTTGAAATCCCAGGAGGGGTTTCTGGCACACTTCAACATTTTCAGACGGTTGTCTTCCAACGGGCCACTTCAATCAATGAAAATGAATCCTCGTAGGTGGCCCGTGAAGAGGGAGCTTGGAGGGATGGTTTATTGTAACATCGTTGATGCGTCTTGGGCTTACATTGGTCCTCGTCCTCCTCCTCCTCCTCGTCCCTTGTGGCATGCCTTCCCCCCACGTGCTTCTGGACCGCTTCCTTAGGGACCGGCTTTTCGTCCTGAATCACTTTTTTCACGAGACGCCTGGGGACCCAGAACCAGCTCCCACGCACGCCGAAAATGACGACACACGTCTGGCGCGATCTGTTTCTGCGAAGCCCTCCAGGAGGATAAACCCCGTCCACTTTCGCCTCTCTCCTTTCGGAAGCCAGAGTCCGCACACGTCCAGCGCCATGGGGAACCGATGTCCTTGGACGCAGGAGGCAATGGATAGTCCTCTCGCCCCCCAATGCCCCCTCGCCTTCTTCCTCTCCCCCGATCCCCGAGAAGCCCACCTCCCGCATCATCTCCTCGGCCTTCTGGAGCTTGTCCATGTTCCTGCGCGGGGGCCGCGGCGGCACAGGCCCGGGCACTCGGCGGAGGAGGGTTGGCGACGCGCGCTGCACGCAGACCAAATATGCCGATCCGGCGTGTGAGTTGAAGGGGGGGGTGAGCCGGGGTGGCTCTGCCGGGGTAGGGGGGGGGGTCTTCCACAGATTGGGTTCGGGTTGTCGGGGTTCGGTTGGCCAGAACGGACCCAAACGTTGCCAAGAAGCCGCCAAGACGGGCCAAGACGTTTCTGGATCGCCCAAAAGTCGATCCAAGACGCCGAACATGAACCCAAGACAGCCCAAGAGGCCGCCAAGACGCTCCCAGAGGCCCCCACGAGGTCTTCCAAAAGGGCCCCGACCAGCCAAAATCATCGATTTCCCTCAGGAAAACATACATTTTTAGCATATTCGCCTCTTGGGCCTTCACAATGTCCAAAACGGCTCAGGGGGCCCTCAAAAAGGCTCCAAGACGGCCTAACAAGGGCTTACGCAGGCCCAGGAGGCCCCCAAGACGGCGCAAGAGGGCTCCAGGACGGGCCCAAGAGGCGCCCAAAAGGGCTCCAAGACGGCCCAAGAAGGGCCCAAGACGGCCCAGGAGGCCCCCAGGAGGCCCCAAGACGCCCCCAAGAGGCCCCAAAAGGCCCCAAATGGCCCCCAAGGACCCCCCAATGTCCAAAACGGCTCAGGGGGCCCTCAAAAAGGCTCCAAGTCGGCGTAACAAGGACTTACGCAGGCCCAGGAGGCCCCCAAGACGGCGCAAGAGGGCTCCAGGACGGGCCCAAGAGGCGCCCACAAGGGATCCAAGACGGCCCAAGAAGGGCCCAAGACGGCCCAGGAGGCCCCCAGGATGCCCCAAGACGCCCCCAAGAGGCCCCAGAAGGCCCCAAGTGTCCCCCAAGGACCCCCCAAAGGCCCCCAAGAAGCTCAAAAGCTGCCTCCAAGACGCCCCCAAGAGGCCTCCAAGATGCCTCCAAGGCGCCCCCCAAGAAGCTCAAAAACTGCCTCCAAGATGCTTGCAAATCGCTCATCATGATCGACATCATGGTCAGTGTCATGATCAAAATCCTCCTCCTCCTCCTCATCATCATCAGCAGCATCATCGTCATCAGCATCATCATCAACATCAGCATCAGCATCATCATCATCATCAGCATCGCCACCACCAACACCACCACCATCATCATCGTCGTCATCATAATCATCATCATAATTATCATCATCATCAGCAGCAGCATCATCATCATCATCATCAGCATCATCGTCATCATCATCATCATCATCGTCATCGTCATCGTCATCGTCATCGTCATCGTCATCGTCGTCATCGTCGTCATCGTCGCCATCATCATCACCACCACCATCATCATCATCATCATCATCATCATCATCATCATCATCATCAACATCATCATCATCATCGTCATCATCATCATCATCCGAAGCGCCCCAGATCGGCGGCACTGGCCAGAGGCCATTTCAACATTAGTGTTGTTTTTGTTATTTGTCTTTTTTGTTTACTGTTTTTGTGTGTGTGGATCCCCGTGTTAATCGTTTGAACTCTCTTTGTTAAAATAACTATTGTTGGTCCCCCCATCGGTGCACATAGAGTTTTTCGATTGAAATGTCCTTCCTGGGGCTCGCACCCTGTGTTTTACTCAAGGAAAACAATCCTGCTCAAACTGAGCTGTTGGGCCCCGAGCTACAACAACAATGGCTCCCGCCTGATACTTCCTCTCAAATCGCGCTCTCGTGCGGGACTTCCTCACATATTATGCAGGAACCGCGCTCTCGCGTGGGAATTCCTCGCGATTGATCCAAACGCCGCGCCCTCGACGCTCAAGAATCACGTCTTCGCTTCGGCCTTTCTCACAATGTACTTGGGAATCGCACTATTGCTCAAGATTTCCTCGCGATTCATGCGCGACTCAAACTTCAACAACCCGCCTGCTCGACCTGGCCGTTTGGGCCCGCCTGCCCGACCCGCCCGCTAGGGTCTGCCCGCCCGATCTGCCTGTCTGGTTATACCACGTGTTTTCTGCTCCTAGCACCCTTCCTGCTAATTTCTCCCGTGCTCCATTCTTCTACCTCCCCCTTCCATCGGTCTTCTCCCCTGTTTTGGGGGCCACTGCTTGCGCGTGGCAGGTAAGGAGCATATGCCCCCAGAGGGAGAACGATCGAAAACGAAGAGGGCGAGTACCGAAGGCTTGGGATATACATGTTGAGTTGTACGCGAGCAGATAGGAACGAACAGCCTTAAAAACATGAAGTCTCATGTCTACAGATAAATGATTCTTGATCCTCCCTGCGCCGTAACCAATGGATGTTTCAATTCAACTGCTTCACCTGGGACTCGTACCCTGTTTTTTTGTACCAAGGAAGGTGGGGTGTCACCAAACTGGGCTGTGGGGCCCCAAACAGCAACAAGTTACGCAGGAATCGCGCTCTCGCCTGGGACTTTCCCGCATCTAATTCAAACGCCGCGCCTTCGACACTCAGGAATTATTCTCTCGCTATGGATTTCTTGTGATTTATCTGGGAATCGCGCTATCGCTACAGACTTCCTCGCGATTCATGCAGGACGCACTCTTCAACAACCCGCCTGCTCGACCTGGCCGTTGGGGCCCGTCTTCCCGACCCGCCCGCTAGGGTCTACCCGCCCGATCTGCCCGTCTGGTTCTGCAACTTGTTTTCTGCTCCATCCTCCTCCCTCCCCCTAGTCCTTTCCTTCCATCCGTCCCCCTGCCTTAGGGGCTGCGCGAAATATGCGTAGAAGGAACGAACGATCTATACACCCAAGGGGGTACGATCGAAAACGATGAAGGCGGGTATCGAGGTCTTGGGATATACGTGTTGAATGGCACGCGATCGGATAAGAGCGAACATTCTTACATTGTTGTTGGGGTTGTTGTTGTTATTGCCTTTTGTTCTTGAGCTTACCAATTGTCATTGATATCTATGTTGTTGCTTTGTTGTGTGTGTGTGTGTGTGTGTGTGTGTGTGTTGTTGTTGCTTTTGCAGTGGTTGATGTTTGTTGTTGTTGAGCTCTCCCCCTCGATGCACACTGTGTTGTTTCAATTGAAGTGCTCATCCCAAGGCTCACACTCTGTTTTTTTGTCAAGGAATGTCTTCCCGCTCGGACTGCATTGTTGGGCCCCGAGCTACAACAACAACGGTCCCACCTGATACTTCCTATCAATTTATTCCCAAATCGCGCTCTCGAGCGGGACCTCCGCACAAATCATGCAGGAATCGCGCTCTCGCGTGGGACTTTCTTGCAATTTATTCAAACGCCGCGCCCTCGACACTCAAGGATGATGTTTTCGCTGTGGCCTTTCTCACAATGTATTTGGGAATCGCGCTATCACTCCAGATTTCCTCGCGGTTCATGAGCGACTCACGCTTCAACAACCCGCCTGCTCGACCTGGCCGTTTGGGCCCGCCTTCCCGACCCGCTCGCTGGGTTCTGCCCGCCGGATCTGCCCGTCTGGTTCTGCCATGTGTTTTCTGCTCCTAGCACCCCCTGCTAATTCATCTCGTGCTCCATTATTCTCCCTCTCCCTTTCATCGGCCTTCTCTTCCCTTGTTTTAGGGGCTGCACTGCTTGCGCGTGGCAGGTAAGGACAAAAAGCCCCCCAAAGAGGGTACGATCGAAGACGAAGAGGGCGGGTACAGAAGGTTTGGAAGATACGTGGTGAGTGGCACGCGGGCAGAGGAGAGCGAACAATCTAAAAATGATCGTTGCTGTTGTTGTTGCTGTTGTTGTTGATGCTGCTATTGTTGTTGTCTCATTTCTAAACCGTAATTTATGTTGACCACCCCTCCGGTGACCATTGCATTTGTCAATTAAAGTGCCGCGTGCCTTTTTGGCCAAGAAGGCCCCAAGACGGGCCAAGAGGGCCTCAAGAGGCCCCGACGACGGTCCAAGAGGGCCCCGAGTCGCCGAGCGATCGCTCCAAGACGCTCAAGATGGCCCCAAGACGGACACCCCAAGAGGCCTCCCAAGTGGCAAACATTCTTGACCTTCCTTAGGTGTTGGAAGGTCTTTGGCTTTTTAATATTTTCGGCTTCCTAACGCTCCAAGATGGCTCAAGAGGCCCCCAAGACCGCCCCAGGACGGCCCAAAAGGCCTCCAAGAGGGCCCCAAGACGGCCAACACGGCCTCAAGAGGGGCCCAACAGAGGGAAAACGAACCTAAAGTCCGAGCCTTCCGCCCACGATGGTCCCAGGAGGCCCCAAGAGGCGCCCAGGAGCCCCGAAGAGGCCCCTGAGAGGTTTCCGAGAGGCCCCACGAGACCCCTAAGAGGCCCCCCGAGCGGCCCCAAGAGGCTCCAAAATGGCCCCCAAGAGGCTTCCACACTGCCTCCAAGAGGCCCCCGAGAAGCCTCCCACGAGATCCCAGAGAACATCCAATAGGCTTCAAACCCAGGCACGGTTTCGGGATAGGCCGAAGGCTATTCGATATAATTCTGAATGATTCTCTCTCTGGTGCACCTTGCGTTTTTTCAATCGAAGTGCGCCTCCTAGGACTCACACCCTGCTTTGTGCAAAAGGAAGGTCTTGCGCCTCAGACTGGGTTGTTGGCCCCCGGTTTGCAACACCAATGGCTCCCGCCTAATACTTCCTCACAATGTATTAAAGATCAGGCTTTCGCTAAAGACTTCCCTACACTATATCCAAGGATCGCGCTCTCGCCTGAGACGTCCTCGCAATTAACATACGGAATATGTCTCTCGGCGCTCTGGAATCGGACTCTCGCTCGGGACTTCCTGATAATTTCCTCAGGAGCTGTACTCTCGCCTGATACTTCTTCTCCATCTCCTCGTGCTAATCCCTCTTGCTAGAACCTCTCCTCCTTGATAGTCCCGCTCCCTTTCTCGTGTCCCCTTCCCTCCTTCCTCCCTTCTTCCACTCCCCTCTTCTTCGCCCCATTCCTTTTCAATCCCACCAGCCCTTTAGGGCGTAGGTGGTCTAGAGCGTTTCCTCTGTCAACCCCCCTTCTTTCCCTTC